GCATTTGGATATTGCCGCCCGGCCTCCAGGAGCCCCCGGGCTCTGGGGCTGCTCCTTAGGGTCACCCCCTGCTTCCCCCGGCTCGAACTGAGCAAACCGCTAAAACCAAGGGCGGGATGTCGGTTCACGGGAGCCGTTGAAGTGCTTTTAGCTCTGTGGCATCTCCAGACCCTTCGGCGCGGGCAGGGCGCCTCAGGCACAAGGTGGTGGGCGAGCAGCCCGTGTGCCCACAACAGTTATGGTACTGATGGGAAAATATTGATGTTCAGAGGTTGAAATATTGGGGCTTTTTCTATCCTGTTTATCATTCCAGCAAGTGCTGTTCTAGGTCTGGGCACCTCCCAGGCGAGTCATTACAGAGACTGGATTTTACAAGTGACTTTGGATGAAAACTGGGAGAGTTCTCTGGACGGTGTAAAGCCTAGTGAAGTCCATGTTTGGGAGATGATTCCCTGCCAGTGGGAAGGCAGAGAGGTAAAATGAGGGCCTTGTCTTGTGCTTTTGGTGACTTTTTTTCAAGCTGTGCTTGCTGATTTTTCTTTATACATTTGCCCTTGGTTGGTTTGTGTAAAGGGGGTGCCCCAGTCTGACCTGTGGCTCTGCTCTGGCTCAGCAGGCCGTGGAAGCAATGCAGACAGGAGATATTTTGCCAGTATTAACAACAACAGGTTTATTTTCTTACCTCATATATAACACAGTAAAGACAGTCTCATAACTTAGTATTTCGTTAATAAATAATCAGCTGTACTGTACCACCCACAGCCCTGCAGGGGTAGGTCCCATATGAAGAAGAGCAGAGAGCAATGAAATCCCGACCAGTCAGTTCAAGTGCATAGAAGGTAAGTACTTCCCTAAAATGTGCATGTCCAAACCTCTTGGTTACTGATGGGTTGAAAAGTTCAGAAGAGTCTGTGTCCCAGCGGGGTTGGAGATTTGAGAGGAGGAGGAGGAGGAGTAGCACTGAAGTACTCGCTCACTGGTCATTTCACAGCTTAGGACGATGATTCAAATAGAGGATGAATTCAAGTGACCCTGTAAATTAGTCGTTGAGGCTTTTTGTTTTAAAGTCAATCCAACCACGTGATGGTAAACTCCAGGTGGATTCACCAGCAAGGGAGCTGCAGAACCTAGGCCTACTCCTATATGTTTCTTAGCAGTAGTTTTATGTGTAGAATCTTATGCCATTAAGAAACAGAGATTTGACATCATCTGGTTGCATAAACTATATTTCTATAGTCTTTTGTATCTATAAATATGAAAATGGCAGCATGGACAGTAATGGTCTGCATCCTTGAAGATCCTCACAAAGAAAGGTACGAAGCAGCATCCAAAACAGCACCTACACCCAAAGAGGAGATGGACATGCATGGAATGATTTACTGACTTTTCTTTCTTGGCTACACCTTTGCTTTTTCTCTGCCTTATTGTGCCTGCCTTTTCACTGCACGAGTCCAGTTCTTTACCAAATCTTCTACTGTTTAAAATATCTTTGAAAAACTAATTGTCTTCACTGCTAGTGTCTTACGCATTAGTCTGATTCTGAGCCTGATTCTAAATTACAATAGAGAAGTAGACAATCTTGTACTAATTTTTGCTTGTCTTCCAAAAAGTAATAACATGGTTAAAATTAGTAAGTTTGGATCCTCGGTAGCCATGATGACATATCTAGAATGGACAAAACGACTTCTTACCAAGTAGAGCAAACTGTCTATATAAGCACTAGCTAGAACTTCCATTTTTTTAATGACTCTTTTTAACCTTCTGCTATGAAAAATCTTCCAAGCATACATGAAAGCTTACCCAACCATACACAAGGTGGTGCACAGAAGGTAGGACAGCCTGCCCAGTCTGTAGGTGACCTGTGTGGTGATGTGCTGCCGGCAGGAAGGGCATATTGTGGATGTTGGTTTGCTTGAAAAGATTCCTGCTACGATGATCGGAGGCTGAGACACCATGTAAACTGAGTTCAAAAGGAAATGAGAAGCAGCAAAATCAGAAGCATGGGAAATCTTTGACAAGTTATGAAGGCTTAATTTGACAATGTAGGTTCTTAATATGGCTGATCTATGTTACTATTATTGATTTCAGGTGTATTAATAAGGACTGTTGTACTGATTGTTCTGTGTACCCCAATATGTTGCTTCTACTAGCAGCTGGTATTTACTCGGATAAGGACATATGCAGGGAATTGGCGATGGGATAATCCCCATAGTCAGGCAGTCTCTGCCACTGGCAGGCGCACTCTGACATTGGGAATTTATCTCCTGATAATTAAAGCAATATGAAAATGCATGTTTTCCCTGAAGAAGAGAATTGAAGCATATAGAGGAGCTTCCTGGATCAACTTTTCAGTAGTTAAAGTAAATTCATTGAAGTAATTATCATACAAATGTCATCAGTGGCATACTGGTGCTGTCCCCGGTTAGTAGAGTCTGTAACTTCCCTCATGTTTTTTCAGTCTGGAGCTGACTACCATACTCCTTGAGGGGAATGCCCCTTGTAGGTACATGAAAGGTACCTTTTCAGAACTGTTAGCAGTAAAAAATACTGTTTTAAGCATCCTAAAATACATTGACACTGTGGCCTGAAGCAAAACTTCAGGAGTGGGAAGGTATTGTTTGTTAGATAGGATATAGCATATCTGAGTTTAATTGCTTTCTGATCTTAGGGATTTTAAAAAATGTATGTGTCTCCTTCCCTCCTGTAAGAGATATTATTTGACTGTTCTTGGAGGCCTTTCCTCAAAGTCTCCTTTGACCTTCTCCACTTCCATAAAGGTGACTAGAACAGGAAGAGCAAAATACACTGGTCTTGAAATTATTTGTTCTGAAAGTTGTAGCCCCTAGATGGTTTTTAAAAAAATGGGTGCTTCTGTAGATTGGCTAATGCTGGAGAAACAAATCTGAGTCTCTCAGTTTATCTTTCAACATTTCTAGGGAAATTTTCCAGCCTCTTAGATTGTGTTAGGGTCAGAAAACTCAATCTTCTCTGTTGATTTTAAAACTAAAAACATTACACTTTTCTTAGCACATAGAACCACAAACATTGTCGGAAACCCAGTCCCCTGGCACTTACCTGGTTGCTCAAGGGTGGCTGTTTCTCGATAGGAATAAGGTGGGGGAGAAGGATACTCATAACCCCCTATGCAAAGAAAAACAGGGTAAAACGTGAAAATACATACAGCTTCTGCCCCCTGAAAGTCCTGTTCAGAGTCTGATGAGAAACTGCGTGGGGAGGTGCCTCGCAGGGGAGGCCTGACATGGCTCAGCGAAGTACAAGACAGGGAAAAAATGCTACTGAATTGATTCATGTATTTTTTTGAAGACGGAAGAGCCCACAGTGACTAGCTAGTCTCACTTTCTACACAGTGTAAGCTGAGAAACCAAATCCTTTTTTCAACACAAAAGCAGCAGCTGCATCTATTCCAGCATAACATTGGACTGGTATTTGGACTTAATTTAAGGACTCCATTGATAAAGGATTCACAGTACCTCTAACTAGTTTCAGTGATTACTCTCCTTGCTATTAGTATTTAGAACCTTTTTTCTAGTCTGAATTTTATCTTCCTTCAGCTTCCAGCCAAGTAATTTAATCATACCCTTTGTTCTAGAAAAAAGTTAAAGATCTTTTTCCTTTTATTGTGGAGAAGGGAAGCTGGTGACTAACACACCTCATGCTTTTTTAGTTCTTTTACTAATCTTACAAATTAAGAATGCAATCAGCCTACCTGAGCATTAAATAAATGAATGTATTTAAAAATTACATTCATGAATACATTCAAAATAATTTCATGTATAAAACTTTACAGCTAGCTAGCATGGATGTGGATCAAACTACCAGACTGGCCTGCAGCAGGAGGACAGTCCCTATGAGAAGTCTTGTTTGGTCAAGCCCACACAGTGTCAGAGAAGCCCTCACCCTCAAACAGAGCAGCCCTGACGTGGGAGTCCAGCCTGCACCACTGAGGCTTTCAGAAACAACGTGAGTCCAACCAGGGAATAATCCCACGGGGGTACAAAATGGGACATAAACCTGGAATTTTCCAGAGTGAGACAAAATACAGTGGCAAAGTTGAAAAAAATGTTAGCAATATTTCCTTGAATGGCTTGCCAAAAGCGAGAGAAATTCGCAATGGCATTTGGGTTTGGTGGTGGTTTAATGTGGTGTGTTTAGGGTTTGGGTTTTTCTTTTGTTTTGGAGGGGGGGTTATTTGTGAAAAAATAACTTTGTAAAAAATTAAAAAGTAAAGAATTTCCTTCTGATCTAGAAAAGGAACGTACTTAGTACAAGTGAGTTATCCCTTGGTGTGTTTTAGTGAAGGACCTGCTGCCTGTGCAAGGACAAGTCCCTGCAATTTGGTGTTAGATGTGCTGAGCGCCTGTCCCTCGGCTGAGTAGCTCACAAGTGAGACTTTTCCCCTCCAACCTCTTCCAAGCTCTTCTGAGTTTAGAAGGAGGCTGGAGAGGTCCTTGAAGACAAAAATATTTACAGAAAGAGCTGATCGGAGTAAAATACTCTGAAAATGAGTCAAGTTTAGAGGCCCGGTACTGACACATCTAGACTTACTAATCACCTTCTGACCTGCCATTCTGGTTTCTGCTCCAGTCCTGTCTGAATGGCAATTTCCTCAATAGCAGGAAGATAAAGGTAAAATCACTGATATCTCAGTGTGTCTTTCAACGAGCGTAGGCTCAAACAGGCAGAAGACAAAGGAGTGTTGTGAGATACTGGTGTAGGCGTGCGAGCAATGCCTAGTTTCAGAGGGAAAAAGCTAACCCAGCAGAGCAGCAGCTGTCAGTGCCCACTTGCAGTTCTTGAGTTGAATTGCCAGCACTTCAGTCATGACGTTTCCCCATGAGACAGCAATAGCCAGGGGTTGTCATCCCTGTAGAATCTGGCTGCAGAACTGACTCATCTAGGGAGGGCAGCTCTGGGCACCAGGAGCATCTGGGAAAAGGCCCGTCCTCTGGAAAACTAAATTACAGTTTAAGCAAGACATAGCCTGTCCGTGTACAAAGTTTGCTGGCTGAACATTTGCTCATTAGGAATATTAAATTATTGTAGAGATACAGCTGCAATTCCTTTTCCAATAAAGCCGGAGGTGTGGTTTGAAAAATTATTAACAAAAATATTTTTTGCCATTTTAAGTGATGTTTCTGTTAGGATATCCCACCAACTTGCCTACACTAACCCTGGGTTTTGTGTGCTGGCACGGGCGCTTTCTAAACTCATCATGTCCTGGCAAAGCTTGGTCCATTGTGAGCTCGCTCAGCTACACTCTGGAAACCAAGCAGCGTTTGCCACAGAACTGTCACGGGGGTGCTCCTTCCAAAACCCTCCCAGTGAATTGTGCTTACCCCCTTGGCTGCAGTACTCTGGTGCAGAGGGTTCTTGCATGTAGGTTTCCTGGTGAGGTTCGTACATAATCATAGGAATTTCCACACGTCTCTTCTCATCAGACATCTCTGCAGTTTACCTGCCAAAAGTAGTGCAAAATAAAGTCTACTGTAAGTGACTTTCAGTGCCCTGTATTTGTCAGTGCCTGCTTCTAATTCATAGTTCTCACACTCAGATTTTACTTAGAGGAAAATTAGCAGTTCTCATATTCTGCCTTTTTTATAGACTGAAGCGCAGTCAGCTCCTGTTACACTTCATGATGAGGAAGATGGAATGGGAGAGCAGAAAATACCATCTTTACATATTTCTTTGTGCTGCAAAGCTAAAAATGTTCCCCCAGAAAACACACTATTCGAAGTGTGTAAACTCATGACTGGAAGTGTTACCTTTGCAGAAAGTTAACCTCATTATTTTCTATGGATTGTCAAAATAATCAAGAAGGGGAAGGGCATGCTTTGGAGCACCTGTGAAAAACCTTCACGTGTCATTAAGTCAGAGCCTACAACAGTGCAACCAGTGGCAATTTGGATCTGTCTTTCATCGGGTTATTGTGCAACCTTATCATCACCATTACTGTGACCAGTTTTGTACTGTGAAACTATCATCTCATCACCAGTGTGACACACTTTTGTTGGGCAAGATCATTATTAAATATGACTGCGCTGCCTGAGGCTCTGAACAAGATCAGGTCATGAAATATAGGTGTTTTGCAGGTGTTAGCAAGAACTGTTCCTCACAATAAAGGAGAGTGGGAGTAATAGGACACAGCTAGAGATGTGTGTTTTTATTACTGTAAATGGAATGATGTTAATTATTCCTAGCTATGTCTTGAACTAGTATTAACTAGTTGATTTCCTACTAACGTTAACCACAGGAGTTCTTTGCAGAAGAAAGTTATTGCACAGGTCAGCAAGGAAGGGAAGTTTGGGGGGAAAGAGGAGCAAAGACATTTGTGAGGAGCTGCTAAATTAGTTTGGTGCAGTTTCACTGGCTGCTTAGGTAACTCCACGTAGCTCCTCGCGTTCCAGCTAAATGTCCCATGTCACTGTTCAGACACCTCCCCTGGTTTGGATCAAGACTGTGCCTACGCACTGGTGATGCAAAAGTGAGGGGTCCTATTGTTACGATAAGTAAACAGAGACTGAGAAATGTAACATTTGGCAAGTTGGCACAAGCTGCCTGAATATGTGAGGTCAAACTAGAGTAGGATAGAAATTGCTGAATAAGGCAAGCTGCTCAATAGATCTGTTTTTAAGGTATGTTAGAGGACAATATGTATGGGGGAGACCAAAAGAGGAGGGATTAATAGTGCTGAGCTAAAGCATCAGTCCTTTTAGGGAGGAAGAAAAGGAGGAATTTAAAAATATTACTCAGGAAGAAGTGATGGAGTTTTCACAAATCTGAATGAATGGGATATAGAAAATAGTAGCAGAATGAATAATAAAGGGACTAGGTAGGATGGTGTGGGAAAAAAATGACAAATACAGCACTGGCCATGTTAAGGCCAAAGATGCTGGAGAAAAATTCTAATGTATGGATTGTAGAGGAGGGATGGAGAAACATGGAGTACATCTTGGTATCCTTGTTGTAAAGAAGCTAAACCAGGTGATTGGGGGTGTCAGAGGTATTAATAGGCCATTATTAAAGCTTCACGAAGATCCCACTGAGAAGAAAAAAGATGAGAATCAAGATGAAGCTGAGAGCCGAAGGGGAGTAATGATCTACAGAGAAGAAAGACAGTGTGACAGTAGTAACTGGGGGTTCAGGAGTGTGATGACAGACAGTATTGCATTAGCCAGGGGTGATCAAGGGCTGTTTCCTTGGGACAAGGATCAGCGGACAAAATTATAGGGAGTCTCTTCAAGTTTTTGGCCTATTGCTGTCTTGGTACTTAAACACCATGTACTAAATACTGGGTGTTGTCATTTTGGGTGACATTTCTGATTAATTCATTTCACTCACCGTGAAACAGGAAAAAGAAGAAACAGCTTTTGAATTTCCTCCAGTGACTGTAGGCCCAGGCAAAAGGCCTGTCATGAGGCACAGAGTAGGAGGGAATAATAATGGTTAACACAGTGAGAGCGTTGCAAGTTAACAGCTGAATGCAGGCAAACACCGACTAATCCTTGCTCCACCCAGTGAGGTATTAGTGTAATATCACCAGTTAAACGTATTAGAGGACAAGAGATGCAGAAGTGAATCAGCAGCAGAGCCGGGAGTAGTGTGGGAGTCCCACTGGACTGGGTTGTGTTTGATGTCCTAGAGCCCTGAAGAACAGAGGCTGTGGGCCATAGGCTGTCGATAAAGTTGATACCCTGGGTTTTCTCACCTTCAGTGTCTTGTTATGTGCTTCTGATAGTGCTGCCAGTAGCCCTGTGTGTTGTGATGGAGGACCTGCCCCAGCGCAGATGAGCTGGGAGAACTGGATAGGCAACTGGGCCTCAGCTCCTGCAGGAGTTTCTTCAGCCTACCTGGGAGAAAGTACCAGGGGTTTAGATACCCTCTGGGCTGGAATGCTGCAAGTTCAGAGGTCCAGGAAAGGCATTTTCTAGGGTATTTTATGCAACTCAGTAGATCCTTTCATTTGGCCTATAAGTGATTACTCTTTGTTCTTGGTTGCAACCATGCCTGTGATGCCCGAGAGTTCTTAGGGCTGTGACCCCCGACCTTAAGTGTTATTGCTATAGATTAGAGCTAGAGACTGTCAGATGTGATTATCTCTGCTGGATAGGAAGGTATGGGGGAGAACAGACAGTGTTAGTAACCCTGTAGGAAAAAGTCTTAAGGAGAAATATCAGGCAGCAGTTCCTGAAGCACAGGAAAATGTCCTATAAACTCCCCTCCAGAAACCAATAACATCTAGGAGGCCCCTGTTTAATAGCTAGGGATGTGAGGTGTGTTGTCTCCTCTGCAGTCACACTGAGCAAATGGAGGTCTCTATGAGGGCAGAGCAGACCCTTGTGCACTCATGAAGTGGAAGCTTGGTTTAGCTGGATAGTCCCAGAAAGCAAGTCTGTGCCTTCTCCTCTGAAGTCTCAGTCTTTTCTATGTATGAGTATAATCAGTTTGCACTGGAAAATAAAGCTCACTGAGTCCTGGGGAAATTAGTATTTTAAAAAAAAAAAAAAAAAGCAAATCACACCCTGAGGCATATACGCAAAGAGCCAGTTCAGGGAAAGGAAGGTGGAAATGACAAAGCCTTTATGCCTTCATGTTCCAGGAAGGACATATCCTAGGGGAGAATGGGCAACTGCAGTTTCCATCATCTTCCTCTGGATTTGCTCCAGGCGCTTGTGTTCTGGTGTGAAGAGCAGTTGTCATGCGGCCAAGCAAAGCTGCTGAACTGCAAAATTCCACGGCAGGGCCCCACTCCGCAGCTCTCACCCGCACCTCTGCACATTCCCTCCCAAATATCCCTGCTAGCTAAATAATCCCACAGATGAGAATAGCTCGACCTGTGCCTGCAGAGAGGCACAGGCACTGCCTTTTGTGCTTTGTGAAGGGGAAACCGAGACACATGGTGGACAGTGTTTTCAGCAGTCCTGACAGAGTTCTTATTTGGCCTTCCATGTATGGTTCACCTACTTGCAAAGGGAATGATGACTTTCCTCCCCTCTTTGTGGTATTTTTCAGAAAGGTTTTTCAGGTGCTGCATGTTTGCAGGGGTGGGCAGAGAGACAGCTCTGTCTATGTAAATAATTTTTCTCCTTTCAGAAATACTTTTTCCAGTTTGATTTGAAATTTGTTGGAAATATGCTTTTCCCACAAACACTTCTTCAAAGATGACATTGCCTAGAGAGTCCCATGGGATTCATGTCAGTTTTGACCTAGGTATAGCTCAGCAGAACGCAAACTGGGAGCTACTCGACAGTTATTTCAGAAATCTCATCACTTGAGTGCTGATGAATCTTTGTTTTAATCTTATGAGCCTGTGCCAATGAAGTATTTACGATTTCATTTGAAAATTGAAGTTCACTGCAGTACTTCTCAATTCAGATTCAGAAATTATACTGTGAAAAGGAGAGGAGGCAGATGGAATTTGGCAGATGTATGTGTGTCGGAGTCCAGGTAACATTTCCCTTACCTTGGTATTCTGTTCAGTTGCAGTTCTTCCTCAGAAGTAGATTGACCTAGTTAAAAAAATGATGTGGTACATCTGTGAAAGCTGATCAGGATTTACAGATTTTTTTTTATTATTTAACTGAGGCTTGTTTTAGCAAGGTTAATTTTTGGTCTCGTACTGCAGACTCCAAATGAAGTTTCTAAAAAGTTTTCAGAAGTGCTTGGCACTGGCCTATCTTCTATTCCAGTTGAAGCAGTGGAGCTGCTCCCAGGACCTGGATGGATGCAACACAAAATACCTAGCTCTCTGGGAGCAGAGGAGAAAATGGAGGGACAACTTGGATATGTGAGAGGGGGACTAAAGTTGCAAAGGACTGTCTCTGTGCCCTGTCTGTACTACAGCTGGCAATAAGGGCTGGATCATGTCATCTGGCAGGAGGTTATCATATCTAGCTATCGCATCATGTACCAGAGTGGCATCCAGAATCTTAGGCAGGACAGGAGACCGTGACTTTATAGGAAAAGTGTTTAATCTCCATTCCAGCTCCAGCTGATGTCGGTGTGGGATTTGCCATTGACTTCAGTAAGAGCGGGTTCAGAGACGGAAAAAGGGAAGATGGATTTTAGGAGGAAACATTAAGTGATTCGGGTGTTTGAAGAGGATAGGGTAATACATTCAAAAGTTTTGTATTTTGGAAGATTAACATTGAAACTTTATAGTAACTGATCTTCAGATGTCATGGACATTTGGAGATAGAACAGTTTTCACCAGTGATCTGTTGGCTTGTAGGATACTAGTCCGAAGGCTTTCGGTTTTCTGTAATGTGTTCTTGTTCTCCTGTCATCACTAGTTGAATGTTTTCTTGGGCATTTAGCCCTTCCAGCTGTGTTTATAAGACCAGTTCAATTTCTTCTGTTTTAAAGAGTGACCATAAAATGCCATTGCTGGCACGCAATTACATCTGTGGCTTGAACAATATGGAGTGCCTCTGTTTTACTTTATTGAAGCCATTAATGCTAGTTTTTTGGCTAACAATGAAACACTGAATTCCTCAGTGGAGAGATTTTTTTTCCCTTTAGCCCTGAGTTGGCCATTATGGCAACATTCACAATGTGCTGAGGCTTTTCAGATGTTCAGGAAGGAATAGCTGCAGCTCTAATACAGATAAACAAAGAGTTGGGGAGCAGGATTCAGGTATTTGTTTATTCTTATCCTTAAAATAGAGGATAAAGAAGGTGACTGCTAGCAGCAAATTAGAAGTTGGACATTAAAACTTATTCAGGACATCTGAAGTAGACAACCGTTTCAGTGAGATGAAGGATGCTCTGCCAATTCCCCGTTCTTTACTCCTGAATTTAATTTTAAATCCTACAGTTATTCTGGCTTTTAAGCCTGTGTCAGGCTACCATCTTCCTTTCTCAAATGGAGAGGATGTAGCTGCGGGGGATTCATCTGAACATGAACCATACTTCTTGCAAGCTCTTCACCTGGTTCCCTTGGCTTGTCTGTTGACTGCACTGACTCACTAGCCCATATGTAAGGTCACTGCTTGAAGTGGTCAGTGGAAGAAGTTGGTGGTTCATCTGTTGAAGTCATCAGGATGTTTTTGTCATTGAGCCAGGAAGCTGGGCAGAACCCTGAAAGTCATTGTGTGGATATTGCTTCTCCTCCTCTCATGTGGAAAGGGAGTTACTTATGTGTAATCCAGGTTCCCCTGGTTTACGTGGAAGTTTAGAGTAAAACAAGCATAACTATTTTTCAGGAGGAAGCATATACTAAAGAGTGAAGTATTGGTGAACTGAGCTCTACTGAGGAAGAAAGAGCTCTTTGCTTGTTCCATTCTGGAGAGAACCTCTTCTCCTTCATGGTTTTGTAAATGGTGACACAGACACAAAGAGACTTGGAAGGTTTTGGGGGGTGTTTTTGTTTTGTTTTCAAGAGTACAACCCCATGTTCATTTGCTGTGATGTGTGCCCAGAGGGCTGGCCACCTGGTTACTGGGCTTGCGCAGGCACCCGCAGTACTTGTGCATGCAGATGGAGCCTGGCCCTGCCTACATGGACTGCTGGACAAGCAGGGACTCCCTGGATCTTCCAGTCCTGTCCCAGGTCAGACATTTATGTCAGGTTATTCCTTCATGAAGGCAGCTCCGGTCTATAATTTAGGATGTTTACTGTTCCTGTTGCTCTCCCTTCTAAAGCAGTTCAGAATACCGTAAACTTTCTCAAACCTTCGAGCCTAAAATTATTCGTGGTAGTTTATTCCGGTTTGTTACTGTACCAGCATCATGCTTTTATAGAAGAACCTTCTCCTCCCAAGCCAGCCCAAAGAACATTTCTGTCTCCGCAGCCTTTCCTTCACAGGACTAAGCAATCTTGCTGAGTCCATTTCTGTACAGTGAATTCATCCTTCCTGGCCATGACTGACCAGTGAGCTCTGTCCTCAGCCCATATAATGGTATGAATGTCATATTTAATGGAAATGCTGTCTTTAGAATAATCCAGTAGCACTTTTTCCTTTTCCACAGCCGTATCGTGCTGATGGTTTGTATTTATGCTGTTGTTAACCAGCAGTAGGTCTCTCTCCTCCAATGTCATTTTGTACTAATGAACTCCCAGCTTGTAGCTGAAATTCCTGATAAAATTTTCTAAATGGACTGCTTTGTAGCATTATGATACATATGAATTCTGTCACAGCAGTTCTCTAGCCTTTCTCATTCTGTGTAATAGATTTTCGGCTTCCATAATTTGTTTCTTCATTCATATATTTTATTAGCCACTCCTATATTTCTGTCAAGGTTATTAATTAAAATATTGAATAAGCTCCATCACTTTCTGCCTTAACCTTTGACGCAAACCAGATCTATCTCCTGAATCTTGTTCCTTAATTTACTGTTTGCGGTAGAATCCCTTGCTTCCTTCAGATGACCAACTTCACTCACATTTAAAGGGCCCTTATTCTGAAGGATGAGCACAACTGGACCCTGGGATTGCATAAGAACTTGTCCCTCCCTAATTATCGTTCAAAAAAATAGAGCACTAACCACTAAAAGGAAGTATTGTCCAGTGGTTTGTGCATTAACCTGGACTAAGGGGGAAAAAAGTTGGGCTCAGTTCCTGTTCTGTAACAGTGATGATGAGCAAATTAGTCTTGATTTTGCTCAGCTCTTGTATACAGAGACACTGTATCGAGGAGACACTGCGACCTTTCTGCAGTGACATGGTCCACACTTGGTTATGCCTCATCTTAAAACTTGAACAAACAACAGAAGACAGGAAATTATGAGTTTAGATTCAGTCTTTGTCCTCTATTGACACAGTCTTTCATGTTCCCATCAGCTGTCAGAATTGAGGGCAGTCTTATTCAATTGCTTCCAGCACTTCATCATTACCTTAAAATTTGTTGTTTGCCATCTTTTCATTTAATTCTTTTATGGATTAACATTCCCTTACTGACAGCACTGAAACATGGGTAGCCAGCATTTCATTTATACCCATGTAAAAATAATGTCCATAACTTGTCCTTCAATTGAAAATTGATAGAACAGCTCAAGTAATGTGTCATGTAGCATCTGGACCTGGTTTAGCAACTCTTAACAAAGTTATTATGTTAGTCAGACATTCATTTGAAGGAAGCAGGTGTGTGTGCCCTGCTTTTATGCATGAGCTAAGCTCTTTCCTATGGGGCATTCGTTTGACTTTCCATTCTTATTAGTGTTCTCATCTTCACCCGATCAGAAAGCTCGTTTTCCTGTGTTCCATCTCTGATCTCTTCTAGGAGAAGGTTAAAATATCCTGAGAAGAGTCTTAGCCTCCAGATTTTAGGGACATCAGAGAGAGCTTGCAGATTTTGAAAGCTTGACAATTTAATCATAACAAGTTAACATTTACAACCAAGAGCCACAGCTGTCAAACTCCTTGAGCTGCCTGTTTTAGTCCTTGCCACCTCCTTTTCCTTATTTCCTAAGGAGTAAACACAGTATTGATCCCAAGTAATTTGAAAGCTCTTACCTTTAGGTAGCTCTGGTAAATCAGGGGAGCAAATGAGCTTCAAAAGTTGATCACTTCATCCATGTCTTTGCCATACAGCTGTGTCTAGGAAAGAAAGCAGCACCCGTGCCAGTGACATGACCTGCCGTCATGCCTCAGTAGCTTATCCAGTTGAAGACGCGAGCGAGTCAGGTTGGGAGAGTATATAATTACCCCAGTTCGCCAGCAGTCCCAGCCTACTGCTCACACCTGCTCTGCAGGAAAAGGAATGTTGTGTGACAGGCTTGCATCAGAGTTTTTTCACGGATAGTTTTCCAATATCCCAGAAATTTTACTTCATGAAAGCTACATGAAGACAATTAGAAGAAGCATGGAAACAACGGGAGGACAGCCTAAACCATTGTGCTTCTATACAAACCATCACAGAGAATGATGAAAAGTACAGTTGTATATGGGGTTCTGATATTTTGTTATCAAAGCTGATGATTCTTTGATTTTGTTATCAAAGTTAAAGTTAACGATTCCTGACCAATTAAGTTTTTGTGCTTAGACCAACAAATATATCTGTGCAAGGTGGTAACCATGGACGTTATAGCTAGGAAATTCTTGGTAACTAGGTTTGTAGCTAAACGGGACTTCTTGTTAAATAGATGCTTTGTCTCTGTGGTGGGTTGAGCTTGGCCAGCTGCTGGATGCTCACCCAAACACTGTCAGTCTCCTCCTCAACAGTACAGGGGATGAAAATAAGATGGAAGTGTTCTTCAGTTGAGATAAAGACAAGGAGGTCACTTACCAATTACCATACTGGGCAAAATAGACTCGACTTGGGGAAAATTGATTTAATTCATTGCCAATTAAAATATATTTGGATGGTGAGAAACGAAAGCAAAAACTAAAACACCTTCCCCAGATGCACAGATTTGGCATCTCCAAGTGTAACGGTGGCCACGTGAACTTCTTAGTAAGGACCATTCTTTCTTTATCCAAACCCACTGTGAAGCTGTCCCGTGCAGGCTGTTCTCCACAACAGGAACCCAGTGCTCCTGACAAGGAGAGTGATGCATCGGGTTTGCCTGGGGGCCTCACATTGCCAGTCCAAAACCTGCTGTTCACTCAGCTCCTGGGCAAACAAAGGCTTACTCAAGAAAGGGCTGCAGCAGTGCAGGAAGCCCCTGACCTTGAGAGGTCAGGATCGCACAATAATTAGCAAAATAGTAACATACAGCTGAGAAACTGCCAGTGGATAAAGGAAGAAGAATGTGAACAGTTGAACACTCCAAGTTTTTATGCTTCTTTTGTCACCATAACTTGCAAAACTCTTTGAAACGGAGATTTTTGTTGTTAATGGATGGTTTCATGTTAATGGTGAGAGCACATCACCTGCAAGCACATCGAATCATCTGGACTTGAAGGACCAGATACAGAGCACTTGCTCAGGTTCACCTCACTGGCAAGAATGGAGACTCAGCACTTTGTGCACTGCATGTGTGCTATGACTTAGATTTGACCACCATCAAAGTAGTTGTGGACTCCCCTGACAAGAGACACATCTCTAGGCTAAACTAAAAATATGAAAAGATGGCTGACGGTAACTGTGGCTGAGCCTATTTTTGCATTTCAAATCGATGCTCTTTCACAGGTTTCCTGTGTGATATTGGGCAAGTTTTCCACTCCTCTGTGTTCTCTCTGTGTAAAGAGGGTAATAGACTGATCGGATTATTATTACACAACTTAATTTTAATAGAGATGTTAAAACGCTGCTTTGCTGAAACCAAAATTCTTTGGGGAGATATATTATTTTGACAACATTTTCCAAGGAAAGGGTTTATTTCTGAGGGTTCACTGGTCATTTCTGATGCGGGAAAAAGATCACTCCCATGTACATGGCTAAATATGGTAGGACACTGAGGATATTTGATGATGTTAAAAGTCATGAGGTATAGCTATAGTGTTTAAAAACAGGTAGTAAGAGGGTGTTGAAGAGGCTGAAATATGGGATAAGTCAGAGGAATGGGACTATATTGGGGAGTGTGAGGAGGAAGGAGCTGCTATGGACTGACCACAGGCCCCCATTCCCCCTGCACCGCTCGGCATAGGTAGAGGAGTCAGGAGTGAAGCAGAGTCTGGGAGAGGGGAGAGGAAAGGTGTTGTGTTAATGTTTGCCTTTTTGTTTCTCACTATCATAAATTATTTATTTTAACTGTCAGTAAATTAATTTTCCCCATGTTGAGTCTGTTTTGCCAATGATGGTAATCAGTAAGTGATCCTCTTGTCTTTATCTTGACCCATGATCTTTCTCATTCCTGTTACTCCTATCTTCTCTCCTTTTAGGGTAGTAGAACTTACGTGTCAGTGTAGACAGAAGCTGGATCAAGTTTAGTCACTGCATGATCATACTGCAACATAGCATTCCTTGAAGAGGTGTTTTAAGGTCTGGTGAAAACACTTTGTGTTGAGGAAAGAAAAGAGAAGTGTCAAAACGGTAGCATCTGTAGAATAAAAGGGAGTCAAGGATAGTCCCTTTATATTATTATTTATTATATATATGGTAGCTAAATATCTGTATGTGCCTATTGGGAAAAAAGCCACAGATACCAAAAAGTTCATATATTTCTTTCTGTTTTCAAGTTAAGTGTCCATAGCATGTGAGACTGGGAAGAGGAATGGCTACCAAGATGTGTGCCACAGGGGCCATCTGTGCAGGATTGCCTCCGTCCCCTTCCTGCTCCTGCCCAGCAGCGCGGGGAACTGCATGGATACTTGGCACGGACTGGATTTTCTTGTCTTCATGGAATCATTTGATAAGGTAGGTTAAAGATAGATTTTAGGATGGCTGTGGTTGCCTATCAGATTAATATTTCTTTGTGGCAGGATATTGTAAGACTATTTTTTATGATGTTTTTTTTTTTCTGAAGGTATGCTGGGTGTTCTGGAGGGCACAGTTTAGGCTCAGCCACAGTTTCCCTCTTCCATGATGATATATAAAAGTAATTCTGTATATTATTTATGTTGTGAAGATGATAATCACTAGCCCTGAAATCTTTCACTCCTTGCTTTTCAGTGACTATAACATTGCAATCAGAGACACTGCCATTAAGCAGGAAATGAATCCATGGAAGAAATGGCCCATTTCTTTGGGGAGGGGTGTCTTTTTTTTTTTTTTTTTTTCCCCTGAAGAGTAGAGGAAAAACAGTGATGAAACCATGAGTGTATCCAAAAGTGTTCATGCACGAGAAATTCTTACTGTGGTGTAGGGCGGCTTAAGTGCTTAAATATTTACAACAGCTTTAATATGCTTAACATACAGCCAAGTTGACACTCATAAAAGAACCAGGAGTTGTTTAAGCTCCTAGGGCTGTTTACAGGTGTGCGGCAGGCGGGCACTCACTTGAGAGGCAGCTCTGTTTCACCTGTTCCAAGTGGCACCGGGCATGCACATGTTCTCACATCTTCAGCCTTTATTACAGGTGAGATGAGAGGATGCAAAAATCTTCTTGTCTCCTGCCATACATGCTTTTCTCCCTCCTGTGGTCACCCACCAACCTCACCGTGATTCTTCAGCCTGCGGGGGAACTGAGAGATTTTATACTTGTGCTTACATGTGTATCACTGGCTTTCTTTTGCAATCTTAATTACACTGTTTGCTCTAAGAGGAACAGTGTGATACTTAGCAAAGAGAAAGATTATATCCATCCCCTTGAATCATTATATCAGCCCCCTGAATATCATATATGCTATCAAAGAAAAACAAGGTGTAATAATCATTATAAATGAGTCCATCAAGACCTACTTGCTTTTACTATCATCACAAAAGATAGCCACCTCTTGTGTGTAGGAGCTACACTGACAATTATTTTGGGGCTTCTTTCCTATTTTTGCTTACAGTCTCTCATACATGGAATAACTGGATTAAAGATTTTTTTTTTTTTCCTGCGTATAGTTGATAGCCCTAGTTCCCACTGTGGGTGCTGTAACCATGGTGTTAAGATCAGAAGGATCACTGTGATGATGAAGGCTGTAAAACCTCACCTGGGGATTCTTCCATAGCTGCTGGTGATGCCAGAGTGCTTCTGGATATCGAGCCCTACACAGGCCCATAGGTAAGGCAGTATCATAGTGAAGCTGTCCCATTGAAAGCTCTGGGAGGTTTGGAGCCTGGCCCAGGACCTGAGGATGCACCAGCAGGGCAGCGCAGATGACAGGGCAGCTCTCCTCCCTGTCCAGGCCTTGTTCACACCACGTATGAGGGTGGAATGGAAGACAGTGGAGTTTTCTGTATCTTCCCATTGACTTTAGGGGGGACTCAGCCAGTTGGCTCACGCTGTGCTTCTAACTTGTAGGTGGCTGAAATTGTGAGATGTGTTCCTCCCTTTGCTGCCTTTTAAATAGCTCGTATGTTCTTTGAAGCATGCTTGTCTCTTTCTTGCTGTTTCGTGTTCAAGGTATAGCCCAGTTGACTGAAACTTTTGTTAAAGTATGACAAAAAACAAGTTGAATGAAGATTTTATTACATATAACCTGTATTTTGGTATATCTTCTCTGCTACTGGAAAACAAACAATGAATAAAGGTCCTTTCCTTGGAGGAAAATCTGAACCATCCTTCCAGTTATAAAAAGCAGAGACCTTGTGCATACAATTCCACTCCTGTTTACACCAGCAGGTATTTGCAGTCAGTGGTACCTGGAGCTGGAATTGTTTTGTAATTCAAGAAACCTCAATGTCTGTGAATACGCTATTGTCTGCCATAAATATAGTGCAGGCAGAAAAACTTCCTCTCCCAATTAAAACACCAGCTTACTATAGCTGAGCGTACATCCCATTGTCTGGGAACTTGCCTGTCCCGTTTGGTATCTGAACGCAACATATTTCTTAGAGCACTGATTACACAAGAAGGATAAGAGTGACTCAAATATGAAACATCATTCTTCTCAGATAAGATCGAAAGATGAGTTGTTTTAATATGCAAAGTAAATATTTGAGTGACGCATGGCACATAGCTCAAACCAAAGCAGACACCACTTATTTGCAGTGGTTTCTGATCTCCAACATGAAAAAATTTCCATAGGCTTTTTCTAGTAATTTGCCTGTTGAAAAAAGATGTAGAAAAGAGAACCAGACACATGCCATGCAGGGATTGAAAAATCACTGTATGCTCTGCAACTAATCTGATCTGAAACCCCAACCTGCTATGGCTGGATGCTCTGCCTACCCACAGCGGGGAGCATTACTTAGTTTTGTTAGTAGCACAAAAGTAATTATTTTAATTTTATTTTTTGTCCTTTTAATATAACAGTTCTAAAAACTCTGAGCCCAATGTCAGAAAGGTGGCTGTAGCATTCACATACTCTTACTCATTGATGATGTGAGGCAGAAAAAGCTTAACAGTTTAATTCAAAGTTAATCACTGAATCAAAGAAAAATTAGTGAATATTTGTTTTGGTTTGCAAGGAACACCTTTATGAAAATGCTTTATTTTTTCCTTTTTTAGATGTTGAAAAATATCGACAATCCTAACTTGGTATTTGAAAATCATACTTTTGAAACAGTACATGGAAAAAGTCAGTGAGAACATATCAGAATTGATGGAGAATTTATATAAAGTATGTTGTTAATTTTTGCTCTTTTTGACCAGCTTGGCTGTTAATGGTTTTCAAGGTTTTCTGTCCTGTTAGCTCAGAAGTCATGTCCTCATATTCACAACATGTGAATATTCTACTTTCATGCTAATACATCCTTACTACCAACAGTAATATTTGTGCTTCCAACCTGGCACCATGCAGTTTGGCTTGGACAAGGCCGGCAAGGCTCCAGGAAGCCAGCTGGGAGCTGTGAGATTACTGCTGGGCTCTTCATGCCTTGGAGTAATGGACCACAGCATGAAACAATACAACAGAGAAATCCTGCTATAAGAATGAAATTGCATCTACTGGTTGTTATCACACCTTAACAACTGCTAGAGCCAGAACCATGGAGGAGTAGACTCACAGACTGGAAAAAATACAGAATTAAAAAATTTCATGTGGAGAGGACAAAGCCCATTCTGCTGGCATGAATGTGGTGCTGACACCGGTGATTATACAGTTGGGCTGTGTTTGACATGTCCAAGAGTTGTAAAATTTTCTGCTTGAATTAATGGGCTTTCTGACTTCTCTAGACAATGGCATTCAACAGGATTTCCATCTACGTGATGTGTATGACAAAACCACCTTATAGATCATCATACTGATCTCAGAAGGAAGAGGGCTGGACCATTAGCCTTCAGGGTCATTTTGAAAATTTTGTTATCCACAACCGAGTAATTAACTTCAATGGTAAGGGCTGAGGTGCTGGAAATTGCTGATTGCTAGAGCTGGCTTGCAAGCCTGAGCTGTTCCTGATGTAAGAAAGAGTATGTGGTCAGATGACTGAATTATTGTCTAATTACAAACTTTGGTGCAGTCAGAAGAATAAGTATCTCAGTATTCCAGTTGTCCCTAGAACTCCACTTTGGTTTAGTTATAAAAGCGGGCAACATGGAAGAGAGATTGAACATAGTTTAAATTGGCCAAAAATATCAGTTCCTTTGCAGACAGTGTGCTGATTTTGCACAGGCTTTGCAAGCAGTAGTTCCGAGCACAGTCAAAATATTTTGGAGGTTGCTCCCCCCTCAGGGGAGCCTACCAGACACAAAAAGGTCAGCGTGCACCCATCTGGTACTACAAGGGAAAAGGAGATGAAAGGCACAAGTCCACAGCATCCCACTGCCTGCTCTCTGGTGAAGCGGGGCTTCAGGCCCCTGCAGCCAGGAGGAGTCCGAGGGTAAGGGAGGTGCTACAGGGTCCAGTGTCTGCCTGGGGGAGGCTCCCGGAGGCTCTTGAGTCCCCTAATGAACTGGGACAATAATTAGCCTTAGTCCCAGTGCGGGGCGCTGCACTACCCTTGTCAGTTTTGAGCATGCATAATTTAGGACCACGTGTAGATTTTTTTTTCTTTTTTTTTTCGACCTGTGTTTAGTTTTAGGTAGTCCTGTGAGGAGCAGGGAATCGGAGCAGATCCTTATGGGTCTCTTCCAACTTGAGATATTCTATGATTGTGTGATACTTACAATTTCAGCTTCTTGGAAGCAAATAATATGGTCAGAATCTGATTTTTCTTTTTTTCTTCCCCAAGAGAAGAATATAACTTTAAGCATTTAATTCCTGTATCTTCTTTCAATTTCTTCCCTTGAAAAAAGTGTTATGTTAAAGCATCATATCTAGAAGAAAAAACATGGAGAGAGCCCAGCACAGCTGCTATTAGTTGTGGTTGGTTTATGGCTGAACTACTGACATAATCAAAGATACAAATGCTCATCAGTTAACTTGGGGAAATTCTAAGCATTCTTGAAATTCCTATGCTGAGATTTTCCTGGAAGGTGATTGTGATTGCTTGTTAAGTAGTGAATGACATTGTATAGGAGAACATATATTTCCTTTTTACAGTAGATGATCACATCTTTTTTACACCTTTCCCATGATTGAACTTCCAAAGCACTTAACAAAAATCTGCCAGAAAATAGGTTCCACTTAGGGAGAACAGCATTCCCTGTACCTCTGTGCTTGGCAGGAAGGATAAAACAGCTTTTCTGTGTGGCTGGTGTGTTGATAAAGATGGCCTTGGGCAAAGAGTAATTTATACAAGTTACCTGTGAAGTATGTAACTACAGTTATATGGGAATGTGACAATAATATGTAGAAAGCAAAGTCATAAAGGTCAAAACCTAAAATACAGTGTAATGATACCTTAATTAATAGAATCAATACTGTATTAACATGGAAAATTCAGCC